AACCAGACCTATTTTCAGCTTCTCTAAAGAAGAAATAGATGCTAATACCAGGCAAGCTGTACACATGCTGTAAGGTGAAACAGAACAGATACTCTGTTATCATTTTTAACCAGGATGTGAACCCTATTACCTGTCCTCTTTCACTACTATTGGAATGTGTGTTAGCCTTAGTCCTTCTCTTAGTTGTGAATGAGTTTGGCTGCTGCTTTGGAATTGCATGTGCATGTTACTGTGTTTTCTCTTGTCCCTATATAAAATGCTTCCTTAAGAAGCTTTTGAACTTGTGGCACCCAGTGAAATTGTTACTGCCCTAACCCCAGCGCTTGTTCTTCTTTGTCCAACAAGGCTATTAACCCTGTAGCTACTATAGACCTCTATTTATTGTTTTTTTAAAGTTAGCTTTTTGGTTATCACTTCAGCCCTTGGGGGTGGTGATCTCTGTCCTTATGCCTAACTTTCCTTTCCTGTTACTACATAAAGACAAGAGAGGTTTTGCACAAAATAATTACATTTTTCTAAAAATTGTGATGGCATTTCACCTCAGTCTGTCTTTAGTATTGCCTACATTTTGCTACATCACTGTAGCATTGTTTCCATGATTTGGATATTTGTAAATGTCATGGCCATCCTCTTGGAGAGAAAACAACTATTCTCCAAACGAAGGGACTTCCAATCAGAGATTTGCAAGTTGGATCTCTGCCTTGATGCACTTTGCCTATTTCATTGTCAGTTAAGGATCCTCCATCAGAACATTTACAGTTACAACATTTGTTAACAACATTGTTTGGCCAGCAGCATTTCCAGCTTCTGAGATACCTGAGAGATTAGAACAACTTGTTAAATCCTTTAAAACTAAAAAAATCTATTAGTTTTTATATATGTTATCAATACATTAATTTGATATGCAGATGTTAAGAAATGAGTGGAATAAAGAACTAAAGGTTCCTATATTGTCTAGAAAATGAGAGAGTGTTTTAACTTCCGTAGCAAGAGTGTCAATGGATCTTAAATTATGACTTATGCAACAAAAATAATATTTAGAATTTATTGGACTCCATTACATTTATATAGAAAAGGATTGTCAAAAACAGCATTTTGTTGGAGATGTAATAAGGATAATACTTCTTTAAAACATATGTTTCTACAATGTCTTATACTTACCAAGTTTTGGGAT